GTCACGAACTTGTCAGTTATTTCTTCGAACGTTTCTATGGAGCGCGCTGGTAGCTGTGAATACCATGTTAATGCCCCTCTAGTGAGGGTTTCTCCAAATTTCTTCAGCAAAATAGAGGACACATGTTCCTTGGTGAGGTCGCTGCCCTTCACGCGGTGGCGTAATTAGTGACATGGTTTTCAGGGTCGGTTTTCCCATCATATATTCTGAGATACGGTGGCATTTTGAAGGTCTTTGGTATGGTATGTGGGGTTTCTTCCTTGCTATACGGTTGTTCTATGAATCTACCGGTATCCCTTTTTGGCAGTAATTTAGGGGGGCCCGATATCTTGTCTACGTTTCTGTTGTTCTTTCATTTGGTCTTTGAGCGCCTTGTTCTCATTCTCCATTTCTTCCATTCTATTCAAAACAACGGCGAGGACACTATCGCCTGACATTGTGAGTTTTATATGGAGTTAGGGGGTCTGGTTGATCACCCTGTTCGTCCCTTCACTGTACCGTGGGGGGTTTTTGTGGTTTTTGTGGTCGTTCATGGAGCTTGTTTGTTGAGCACGCTTACTAGGAATTGATTAGCCATGCTTCGAGGAGCTTTTTCATAGCAGGTGGCGTCCCTTCTCTTGTAGACGTGGAAGCTCATTTCCCATTTGGTTTCATTGTGCTGCAATAAAGGGGAGGCGACCTCTCAAGCTTGGGAGAGGCAGTGGGCATCACATCCTCGCCCTGTGTTTCATAGCTCTCGTTGATGGCGTTCATGAGGTTACAGGGAATGTCATCTGTTGCCCTGGTCCCGTTTCCTTGGTACCTGCCATGGAAATTTATGTACGTGCAGAGAGGAGAGAAACTTTGTGGCTCGTTAGGTTAGCATGTCATGTGAGTTGTAGATCTAATGGAAACTAAAAGATTAGCTAAGAAATTTCCACATACGGCGCCAAACTGTTTGTCCCAAAATTTAAATCTATGTTTAAACAATTAGATTTTCTTAACAAAATAGGGTTAATCTTGCCTAATAATAATATACACTATATTATTTAACTAGTGTCGTCGTAGGATGCCACAAAATCTGTGGTAATAGTGATGGACGTATAATAATAAATAGCACTTAACGGAAAAAATATGAAGTGAATAGCATTAAATAACAATAAATGGTGTATAATGGTATTTATGTAAATATATGTAACAGATATGACCGAAAAAGAGGATGAAGTCGTGTAATGTTCCTTCTGACAATGATAAATGATTTATGAGTCTTTGAATATTCAGGTTCTTCTTGTATCGTGGAAGAAAACTAGAGAGGGATCTCAAGAAAAAGGTGTCTTTTGCACGTATGTAGTAAAGCAAGAATCTCTAGAGAATGTCAAAGTATTCTTCTTTTACAAATGAGTGTCCAATGCCTCCTATAACTATGTCTCTTTCTATTTATAAGGGAACATGTGCCATAAAATCCTAATAGTACAGATTCTGGGAATATTCACTGAAATATTCTCTTTAAATTCATTTCAACGAAACTAGCCGTTATTGCTTCGTTAAGGAGGGCATTTGAACTCGACCTTAATCTTCGTTGACTCCTCGACCTAGCCCCTATATTTCGTCATATCATTTTGGCCTTGAACCCATCTTTTGTTGAAACCATACTGATGGCATGTGGCAGTCTTTAATGACTCTCCTAGTGCTAACATGGCCTAAATATAACTAGGATAATTTTTGGCCTATACAGTACGTACTCATGTTGATGGATTTTCATTTAGCCTGTATTTTTCAAGAATTATTTAATTTGTTTAGAGGTTTATATATCAGTAAAAATATATAAAAAAAAAAAAAGTGAATACAAAATATTAAAATTAAATGGTGAAGGCGATGGATCAAAATTTCCATATTGAAGATTCATTTAACCAAACCTACCCATCACCAAAGAGATTTGCGGCAGAGCACAGTGGCGCTCTCGCTGATTGTGATGTTCATTCTGAAGGGGATTGGAGATACATCATTTGAACATTTGATAAATTTAGCAATTTTATACAGTGTAGAAATTGAAGGCAGAGGAAGGTGGTCATTTAGATCCTGTTTCAAGGAGTTGATGTAGAATTTATACTCTTGGTTCGTTTGGCTTGAGACAAATTATATTGTGATTGGTTTTGCTGGAATTAGTTATATTGTGTTTAGTTATGTTGGGATTAGTTATTTTGGTATTATTTCTTATTGAATGTTTGGTATGTTGTATTAATTTTGGGATTGTCAATTTTACTGCTTTATTCTGGGATAACTTATCATGGGATATTATTTCACCCTTCTAGTACTTTTTTGAATCTTGGGATAACTTATCTCAGGACTAGTAACCAAATAAGAAATAAGGCAATAATAAATTTTTATCCCAAGATTAATGTTATTTATCCATCATTGTTCACAACAAATTTTCGTAGTACAGAAAATAAACTAAAAAAAATATAATATGAAGAAAAAGAGATTTTATTGATAAATATTTGTGAGTACAATTTTATGTATCCCTCGATTCTCCTCTCTAAAATTCTCCGTGATTCAAGGGTTTGAGAAGCGTCTTTCTCGAATGTAGGACGATGCAGACCTCCTTATGATGTATTTAATTGCCAAGAACGTCGAGCAACACATTGTTGCTACGGGTTGATCTCCGGGAAGAACTCTGTTGATCACTCCTTTGTTGAAGAACTATGCACTTGATGATTGATCTCTCTATTTATGGATGCCTTCGCCAATTGCGGAATGGTCTTCTCAACTCTGTATGTCTCCAAAGAGTTATGTAACCCCTCTATTTGTAATGGTAGAAGATGGACAGTCCAGCTACATATGAACTCTCTTGCTTGATTCTGATTGGCTCATGTGAGTCATCAAACTTATCATATAAGCTATGTGATACGCTTGCTTGAGATTGGCCAAGACATGTTATTTTATCCACTTGGCAACTTTTGATTGGTCACTATTTTAGACAGGGATTGCCACACCATTTTACACGTGGCATCATCTTGTTGGCTTTGAGTTTGACTGGATATGCCTTGTCACTTGACACATGGCATGAGTCTGGGCCTTAAGATGAAATGGACATTGGGCTTATGGACTAATTTAATTTGTAAAGTCCAAATTAATTATTGAACCCAAATAAAATTAAGATTCAATCTAAATTTTCTATGGATTAAAGTTAATAAATTTTTTAGGTCTATAGATACACCCTACTTCAAGTCTTGTCGAAGTGTAAAATTGATGGGCCTTAGCGACGAGGCTTGAAGTACCGGTGAAGACAACAATTTCTTTAGTCTCCTAACAAAAACACTTGCTCATGCACTTTGGTTGAGCATTAGGTGAAACCACATAATCATAGTAACAAGCATATTCTAGTTAAATAACGGGTATTGCATCTTTAATTTGGAGATAAAGTTTAGTAGCTTTTCTTTCTCAGGCTTGAACTTAGTCAAAGAGAAATTTTTACAACATGTAAAGATATGCGGCGTAGGACAATATAGATAATAAGTTTAGCACACTTGAGTTATTACTCCAATCAGATTTTCTTCCTCTAATTTGACGTGCACCACTAGACCTTACCGAAATTAATTGACCCAATACAGTGTTTTATTGAATTCAAATACGTCTTAGAATCCTTTTCTTTAAAGCATAAGAGACTTTGTAATTAACTAGGAATTCTCTTTTTATTTAATAAGGATATCTTGTACACCAAGTAAGACACCACCGTCTCATGAGCTCTATAAATAGGACAAGAGCTGGACCTCAGACACATAAGAGCACAAACTTGAAACTCGAGAAGTTCGGCTAACCATGAGAGAAGATACATAAGGCTCTTCCTATTTGTAATTCCTTTCTCTTGCATCTCTTTTTTTCTATATTCCTTCTGACGGTTTCTTTTTTTCTTTTCAAGAATTGACATCACCTAGAAAAGAAGTTCGAATCTGCAAACCGTCAGTAATTTAGATGGATGTTTTGATATAAAACTTGGCCATAGTTTCAAGCTTCGTGTCGTTGGCGCCATTACCTGTCACGATGATCAGAACTTCGAGTCGCGAGTACATTTATCTATTGTGATGATTTGAAGCGTCGTGTCATTGACACCGGTACCTGCTGCTGAATCGAAGCTTCGTGTCATTGGCACCAATCAACTAGATAGAACCAAAAGCTTCGTTCCGTTAGCACCGAGGCCTCCAAAATCTTTTCTCTTTTGCTGCAGAATCTGTAAGGGATAGTCATCTTTAGGCATCTGTCGAGAAAACCATCATATGTCGTTGTAGGAACATCAAAATCACAAGTCGTCTAATCCCCTTGACACTACACTTCAAATACTTCAACATATCAAAAGTTTGGGCCGTAATTCCTTCTATAGCTTCTCAAATATTATTTTGAAATTTCTTTTCAGACGCCGCTATGCTCAAATTTATAGCTTTGCTCACCTTCACAAAAAAGTGTCATATCTGTTGGGGAAAAATAATAATCCCGCCCAGGAAAAATATCCACGGCAAATAATAATAACACACGAGAGTAACAACGATACCAACTTTTTTAACGAGGTAAAATACAATATCTGAGCGGAGTAATATTACCACTACAATATTAAACTTAGTAGTGTCAAGAGACTACTACAACTTAGAAAGAAATAACACTCTTTATTTTAAACATCTCGCTACAATATTACTCACACTCATTATTTATCTCACAAACTACAATTTATGGATTACTGTCTCTAATTTCTATTGCTTCTCTCTTATTTTGGTGTGTTTTAAATGAGGCAACATCCTCCTTATTTATAGTTGAACGAATGCTCACCAAAACCAATTAAAATCTGCTATGTTGCCTACTTGCCAATTTGCAAGATTGCAAATTGGTTATGAAATTTGGTTCCACCGTCCAAGCTTACAGCTGCCCACTATTGCCTTTATCTCAACCAATCACATCTCTTTCTTTTCTTTTTCTTTTTCTTTTTTGTAATAGTTTATTTTATTTAGGGACTGGTCCCACAAATCTCTCCCTTAATTTTGATTTTTCTTCTTCATTCCAATTCTTGATCTCAATCTCTGAAAATCTTCAAACTTGAGGGGCTTTATAAAGATATCCGCAGCTTGATCATGAGACTTCACATATTTGAGCTCGACTTCCTTCTTGGTAATGCATTCTTTGATGAAGCGATACCTTGTGTCTATATGTTTGCTTCGATTATGATACACCGGATCTTCACGAGTGCCTGTGCGGATTTGTTGTCAATGCAAATCTTTGTAGCTTCAATTTGTGATAAATAGCTCCTTCAACAATCTTCTCAACCAAATAGCATGACACATACAGGATGTTGCTGCTACATATTCAGCTTCACAAGTCGAGAGAGTAAGAATTGGTCGTTTCTTTGAACTCCAAGAAATAACAGAATCACCCAAGAAAAACACAAAACCAGTTTTGCTTTTTCTATCATCAATATCTCCCGCATAATCACTATCACAAAATCCCACAAGGTTGAAATCACTAGAAGAAGAATAAAATAACCCAAAGTCGATCGTACCTTTTAGGTAACAAAGAATTCTTCTAGTGACCTTCAAGCGAGTCGATGTAGGAGCTTCCACAAAGTGACTTACTACTCCAAATGCAAAGAGTATATCTGGCCTGGTATAAGTCAAATACCTCAAACTTCCCACAAGACTTTTGAAAAATATGGGATCCACTTTTTCTCCTTCATCAAACTTGGACAATTTTGTCCCACTCTCCATCGGCGTGTTCACAGAGTTGCAATCGAGCATGTTAAACTTTTTCAATATCTCTTTTGTATAGCTTTCTTGAGAGATAAAAATTCCATCCTCCATTTGCTTTACTTCTAGTCCCAAGTAGTATGACATGAGTCCTACGTCTGTCATCTCGAACTCACGGGACATATCTTTCCTAAAAGCTTCAAACAAACTTGAGTTATTACTCGCGAAAATAAGATCATCAACATAAAGACAAACAAGCAAGATATCTCCATTAGTGTGAACTTTAGGATAAGAGAATATTCATGGAGACAACGAGAAAACCCATTATATTAAAATACTTGTCGATGCAACTACTCCATGCTCGCGAGGCTTGCTTTAATCCATATAAAGCTTTCTTCAACCGCAACACTTTATCATCATGGTTTTTACCACAAAGCCCAATGGTTGTTCAACATAGACTTCTTCTTCAAGATAGCCATTCAAAAAGACTGACTTGATGTCTAGCTGATGGATCTTCCACTTTATTTGCGTTGCCAAAGAGATGAGCAAACAAATCGTCACCATGCGGGCAACGGGTGCATAGACTTCTTCATAGTCAATGCCTAGCCTTTGCTTGTAGCCTTTAGCCACAAGTCATGCATTGTATCTCTCCATATTTCCATCAGAATTCTTCTTTGTCTTGTATACCCATTTCACTCCAATTGCTCGATGACCCTTAGGAAGAGTTGTTAACTCTCAAGTGTTGTTCTTCTCTATTGACTTGATCTCCTCTTCCAAGGCTTGTCTCCGCCATTTATCTATAACAGCTTCATCAAAGTTCATTGGTTCACTGTCAGCAAAGAGACAATATAAGAAATCAAAATTAGTAACTTCTTCTGTGTCCTCATAGAGCTCTTGAATACTCCTTGTCCTCTGCGGCTGTTCATTTGAACTTTCTTGAGAATAGGGAGATGCAACATTGGTTGGAAAAGGAGGTGGAGTTGTATCATCCACAGGTTCCACGATCTCTGTTTCTTTTTCATCACCAAAGTATGGAAGAAAATCATATGAAGTTTCTTCCTGAGCTTCCCAATTTTATGCCAATTCTTCATCAAATTCAACATCGCAACTTACCACCACTTTTCCGCTACTTGGGTTATATAACTTGTAGCCTTTTGAACTTGTATCATAGCCAACAAATACATGCTTGACACTCCAATCATTAAGCTTCGCTCTCCCTTGGTGTGGCACATGAGCATAGGCTATGCTTCCAAAGATTCTTAAGTGCTTAACACTTGGCTTTCTTTCAATCCATGCTTCTTGAGGGGTTTGATCTCTAACATTTCTTGTTGGAGACCTGTTGCTCAAATAAACTGCACATGAAGCAGCTTCGGCCCAAAATTCCTTGGGCATACTTTTAGCTTTTAACATACATTAGCCATATTAAGAATCATTCAATTATTTCTCTCTACAACTCTATTTTGTTGGGGTGAATAAGGTACCGTTAGAGGGCGACGAATTTCATGAGACTGACAGAAGTCATTAAATTCTTTTGAAATGAAATCGCCTCCTCTATCGGACCTTAAAGCTTTTATTTCATAGCCATTTTTTTCTCCACAAGTACTTTGAAATTTTTAAAAGGAGCAAAAGCTTTAGATTTTAGGTTCAAGAAATAAACCCAAGTCTTTCTACTAAAGTCATCAGTGAAGAGAAGAAAGTACTACTTTTACCAAAGGAAGGTGGATTGATTGGTCCACACACATTAGTGTGAACAAGCTGGAGCGGTTTGGTTGATCTTGACATGGCCTCCTTTGAAAAACTCCTCCTTGCATGTTTTCCAAGAAGACAAGCTTCACACAATTGATTCGGATGGTTGATTGATGGTATCCCATGCACCATGTTCTTTTCTCCCACTGATTTGAGCGCTTCAAAATTCAAGTGCCCAAATCGCATGTGCCAACACCATGATTTATCTTACACATTAGCCTTCAAACACTTTGCATCAATTGTCTTAAGATTTAGAGAAAGTAACTATTCATTTCCATATGCATTTTAGCAATTATAATTCTACTTGAATCTCTAAGTCAAAGATGCATATTTTTCATGTGGATGTCATATTCCTTTTCAAGAAGTTGGCCCAAACTAAAAATATTACTTTTTAATTTTGGGACATAATAAACATCTTGAATTAACTTGTGGCCACCATTTTTACCAGAGATCCGAATCGTGCATATCCCTTTGATTTGAATCTTTGAGGTATATTCAAAGGACACATTACCTCTCACATTATTGATATCCACAAACTTCTCTTTGCATCCACACATACGATTGCTTGCACCATTGTCGAAACACCACGAGCTACAATCATCCCTGTCTTCTTCCTTTAGTGCCACCAACAATGTTGGCTCATCTTCTTCTTTCTTGTCGTTAACAAGATTAGCTTTTTCTTCAACATTGCTATGACATTACCAAGACTAATGGCCAAGTTTATGACAATTATAACACTTAATTTTTGATTTGTCATACCTTTGTCCATTTTTTCTTGGTAGTAGCCACGTCCTCTTCCTCCTCTTTGTCCACGACCACGACCTCTAAATGTTTGGTGGATTTTAACTTCATTGTTAAAGTTGCTACCAATACTTCTTCCTCTTCCATGGATCTTTTCACCTCCATATTCTTTAAAGGATTCCTGGGTTTTAAGAAGTTGCTCCAGTGGCACTTCTTGTCTCCTCTTGATCTTTTCTTCATGAGCCTGTAAAAAATCTCCAGTCTCCAATTGCTCCACCATCATTGAGTATAAATCTTTAGACTCCTCAATAGCACACACCACAAAATCAAATTTAGGTGTTAAAGTGCGAAGGATCTTTTCTACCACACAGACATCTTCTATGTCCTCCCCATATCTTCTTAATTGATTTCAATAACATTCACTATTGAACAATAATCCGAAATGCATTAGAAATTCTTTCATTTTTAAAACTTCAAAATCAGCCCTTAGAGTTTGAAGTTTTACCTTCCTCACCTTGTCAACTCCTTGGAGAGAATTTTGTAAAATCTCCCAAGCTTCCTTTGAGGTGGTAGCATCTGCCACCTTCTCAAACATGGAATCATCCATGAATCGGTGGATGAGCGTGAGGGCTTGTTGATCCTTCTTCCTTGTCTTTGCCAAAACATCTTTTTCATTTTGAGTCACAGCTTTCTCATTATTGGGTTTTGCATACCATCTATCTACGATTTCCCACACTTCCTGGGAGCCAGGAATGGATTTCATACGTAGACACCATTTATCATAATTATATTTTATGAGACGGGGGTACTGAGAAGACAACGGACCATTATTCGCCATGGCTCTGATACCACGTTGTTGGAAAAAATAATAATCCCGCCCAGAAATAATATCTACGACGTTAATAATAACACAAGAGAGTAACAACGACACCAACTCTTTAACGAGGTAAAAACAATACTCGAGCGGAGCAATATTACCACTATAATATTACAACTTAGTAATGTCAAGAGATTACTACAACTTCGAAAGAAATAAGACTCTTTATTTTAAACACATCACTACAATATTACTCACACTCACTATTTATCTCACAAACTACAATATGTGGATTACTGTCTCTAACTTCTATTACTTCTCCCTTATTTTGGTGTGTTTAAAATGAGGAAACATCCTCCCTATTTATAGTTGAATGAATACTTACCAAAACCAATCAAAATATGTTATGTTGCCTACTTGCCAATTTGCAAAATTGCAAATTGGTTATGAAATTTGGTTCCACCGTCCAAGCTTACAGCCGCCCATTATTGCCTTTGTTTCAACCAATAACATCTCTTTCTTTTCTTTTTCTTTTTTCTAAATATTTATTTTATTTAGGGAATGGTCCTACAATATCTTGGTCTAGCAACGTTGAAATCACGAGCGGTTTGTGGCGTCAGAAAGTAGAGTTCCAGAGCTACAAAGTATATAAAGATCACAATCAGATTGACCCTATATCTTCCCATATATCTTGTAGAAGTTAGGCAACAATTTCTTCAGCTGTGCACGCTCTCACGAAGTGAAACATGTTCAACAATATCTTTTTGTTTTTTTACAGGCGAAGAGAAGCATGAAAACTTCGTATCCATTGAGCCTTTGTGTACGGCTTCTTGCAACTTAGTGAATAAATCCATGGAGAATCCTCTTCTTATAGTTGGCCGAAGATGTACATGGCATTCCAAGTCCCAAGAAGTAGATGAAGCACTCTCTTCTTGCAATTGGTCACAGAAGTCTAGATAAAGCGTTACCTCTTTGAGGCTTGGTGAGAAAGAGGCTTGCAGTGACCGTATTCCATCCTTGGCGAGCGAGCACACGGCACATCTCATTCCTTGCGGATTGGCTCGAAGAGGCTTAGATTTGGAGTGACCATATTCTTCTTTGCAAGCGAGCATATATGGCGTGCCTCATTTTTTTTCTTGGCAAAATTGACACTACTTGGAGCAGTCCTTTCCAACCTTGACGAGCAAGCAATTGGCACATCTCCGCAAAAATATCCATTCATTGGCGTAGGTACAATGAAATCTCAAGCCGCTTGCTTTTGAAGAATCAAGACTTGAAAGGCTGCATCCCATAAAATAAAAATCCACAAATAAATTTCTTGAGGATAGCCGGAGTTGACTTTTGAAGCTGATATACATGTCTGACATTTCTACTTTACAACATTGTATGTTATCATTAGAACGCACATATCTCAAGCTTGGAACGTCCAAATCTCTAGCCGTCTCCGCCACTGGAAAGAAGACTCAGAGATAAGGAAGTCCTCAAAATATAATGGAAGGATTCCTAGCAGATTAGCCACAAAACTTTCCCGAAAATAACCCATCTATCTGCCAAACTTCATGTTCAGCTTTATGCGCTCTTCTGAAAAAATTCACATCTCGAGCTACAGGTATCGGAAGTGCGAGCCATATATTCCATTGGAAAAAAAACTACAATTTCTGAAACACCTGAAGATATCATGGACAAACTCCTTTTAGATTGTTTGAAACACTAGTTTGAAATCGCTCCTGATGTCTGTCACACTTGCTTTCCAGCTTTGTGCCCTCTCGCTGAGAAATTTATATCTTGAGCTAGGAGCATCAGAATTGCTAGTCGTCTGCGTCATTAGAAAGAAAACAACGAGATAAGAAACACTGAAAATATTATTGCATAATTCCTCTGGCCGAAATAATTTCTTGAAGTTCATCTATTTATTTGCCATGTTTTTTTTACCAATTATGCGCACTCCTATCATAAAATTCATATCTCAAGCTAGGAGCCTCCAAATTGTGATCTGTTTGCGCCGTTAGAAAGAAAACACGTAGAGCTTCCAAACATACAAATTTTATCACGGAACTCCTTTAGGGCTCGAAACAGGAAAATCTTGAAAATTGAACTGACCGCAAGGAACCTTCAGGTTTACGTACTTTCGGTAGGAAAAACCGTATCTTGAACCAGGAGCGTCAAAATCACCAACAATTTGTTCCTATGGAACTCGGACATCGAGAAATATAATCTTGTTAAAGATGAAGGCTTCATTAATTCTTAGTTAGCCCAACAAATATTTTTGAAGTTGATTCTACAGCCTTGTAATGGATTTGGCTATCATCACGAATCTTATCTCCTTATTTATTTCTTTTGCAGACTTGTGAAGGAGCTCAAAAGGACTCAGTGTCAGACTAAGAAGGTACACAAGATGTGGATATTTTGATGTTTCGAGCAACAAGAAACGAGCAAAATCTCCCTGCAAAAGACAAACTTGTTGCAGAGAGATTATCATGTGAAAGTACTCATCTCCCAAAAGTTGTGTATACTCGAAGTTTTGATATCCATGAGGCTTGACCAAGGTGCTCACTAATGATGGAACTTTCGAGAGCGAGGTACATGCTCATGTGATGGAACTTCAAATAGAAGAAGTATACCATTGCGCCCACGACTCAACAACAAGACGCGTAGTTAAGGGATAATAAAAGCTGCTAAATGTCATGGGCACGCCATCAAGGATGATCTATCATATGGAGAAGTCACAAACGAGTTGGAAACCATCCTTTTCTTTCGATCGTTTACCTAACTTTAGATTCCTTATATAGGATGATGTCTCATTCTACTTTTAACATTGATGTATATAACTCTTCCAATATTGAAGCAATGAAATATATTTTATGCTTTGGTATCAAATTTTCTTCTTTTCCTCAATTACATATGCCTCTATATTTGAAAGAATTAAAATGATGATCCCATGATGCCAAACCCTTTTTTTTTAAAACTCATGCGACTGAACTTAGAATGAAACTCTAACCTGCCTACGTACCTAGGTGAAGAGGATCAAGTCATAACGTAGTTTAGAGGGATGAGTTTTTTTTTGTTTTTTTTTATGTCCTAATTTTTGCCTAGGCCACCTATTTCGAGGTTTTCAACCTAGCAGACTCTTTTTTTGGGTCTTAACTTTTGCCTAGGCCGCCTCTTTCTAGGTTTTTTCAACCTAGTAGACTCTTTTTTGGATGTACACAGTTTAAACTCATGCGGGCCAGGACTATAGCAATATGCAATTTAGGCTCAAACATCAAGGAGCACAGCAACATGTAGTTTAGGCTCATGCGTCAAGGAGTGCATCAACGTGAAGTTTAGGATCATGTGTCGAGGAGCGTAGATGACTTTTATGGGAAGTATTGCTTCAAAAAAATTTGCCGTTGGACCAACTCTGAGACCATCCTTATCAATGATTTTGTATGCGCCACTTGAATAGGCTTCCTTCACAACATCCGGCCCATCCCATTTTGAAGTGAACTTATCGCCTATGCGTTTGTTGAGGATTATGGGTCTTCGGAAAAGTAGGACCAAGTCTCCCACTTGGAATGATCGTTGCCGCACTTTCTTGTTGAAGGCTCTAGCTAGGAGAGCTTGATATCAACCCCCCAATCTTTGTTGCGCTTCTAATATTGTCTCATCCAATGCCTCTAACTCTGTTAGGCGAAGTTGAGCATTCTCTTCGGACGTGAGTCCTTCTTGGACTGCGATCCATAATGATGGAATTTATTGCTCCAGTGGAAGGACTACTTCTACACCATACACCAAAGAGTAAGGAGTTGATTGTGTAGCAGTTCTGAAGGTTGTCCGGTATGCCCACAAAGCCTCACCAATTTTCTCATGCATTCTCTCTTGTTCTTTGCAACAACTTTCTTCAAAAGGTTACCAAGCGTCTTGTTAAAAGCTTCAGCAAGGCTGTTGGCGGGTGCATTATACATTAAAGACTTATGTTGCTTGTAACCGAACTTCTCGCACAGACTCTTCATGAGCCTATTGTCAAATGGATTTCCATTATCACTGATTATGTATCTTGTTATGCAGTACCTAAAACTTATATATGACTTGATAAAATCGTCAACAGTTTCCTTTTTCACCTCCTTGAGTGGAATAACTTCAACCCAACTAGAGAAGTAGTCTGTAGCGGCCAATATATACATTTGTCCCTTTGATGACTTTGGAAGCGGTCCAACAACCTCAAGTCCCCATGCATCAAAAGGCCATGAAGCTACAATTGGATGAAGAGGCTATGGAGGTTGGTGGATGTAGTTGGTATGAAATTGACACGCTTAACATCTTTTTGCATGCTCTATGCAATACTTCACCATTGTCGTCCAGTAGTAGCCCATCCTCTTGATGTGAAAATGGAGCTTGGGACCAGATTGGTGTGCTCCACATGAGCTAGTGCTTCCTCCATCGCTTGGCAGGCTTCTTCTTTGTCAAGACATCGCAAGAATAGTACTTCAAAAGAGAGGCTAAACAATGTCCCCTTATAGAAGATGAATCGTGGTGCTCTTCGTTTAATGTCTGCTATTTGTCGCGGTCCTCAGGTAACTTTCCATGTTCAAGGTACTCTATCTGTGGTTGCCTCTAATCTTCTTCTTCAATCACTCGAACAGACGTATGATGGCTTTCGCTGATTTGAAGAATTCTAGGAATAACCTATTGATGACGTACATATATCTTTGTTGACTCATTCTCTCCAAGTGTCTTTGCCATGGCCAAGTTAGCCAAAGCATCAGCCTTGAGATTTTCTTCTCTTGGGACGTGGTTTTAGAATACTAGGTCGAATCTTTCAAGTAAACCAAAAGCATATTGATGGTATGGCAAGAGATCTTCCTTCTTTGCCTCGTAACTTCCGAAAAGTTGGTTGATGATCAACTTAGAGTCGTTGTAGATCTCCAACTGTAGAATCTTCATGTCTAATGCCATTTCGAGAACGACGACCAAAGCTTGGTACTATGCGGCATTCTTGGAGCATGTTTCACCTAAAATAAAGGAGAATGGCAAGACATGTCTTTCTGGAGAGATCAACATAACACCTTCCTGCACCATTACGACATGTAGATCCATCAAAGAACATAGTCCATGGTGGAAATTCTTTAATGAACAAAATTTCTTCATCTGGAAACTCATTAGAAAGCTCCCATTCCACCAAAAGAGGGTGATCAACTAGAAAATTGGCTAGTGCTTGTCCTTTTACAGCCCTTTTAAGGTATGTATGTGATCTTATATTGGTTAAACAATATGGACCATCTTGATAAGTGTCCAGAAAGAACATGTCGAGTCATCACGAACTTCACGAGATTTGCTCGAGGGATGAGTTTGATGGTGTATGCTTCAAAATAATTCCTTAGCTTCTTTATCGCATAAAGTAACGCTAAGCATATTTTCTCAACATGCGTATAGTTCAACTAAGCTCCTATCAGAGTTCGACTAAGGTAGTACAAGGCTTGTTTCTTTCCTTCCTCATTCTCTTGAGCAAGTAGTGCTCCAAGTGAACGTTCATGTGCCACGATGTAAAGTATCAATGGCTTCCCAAGCCCCGGTGCCCCTAACACAGGTGGATTCAACAAGTATCTTTTGATGCTTTCAAAAAGCATTTTGACATGACTGATCCTAATGAAAAGGGATATCCTTCCTCAATAGATGATTGAAGGGTTGACACCGTCCGGCGATTTTAGAGATGAACCTCCGGATGAATGCTAAGTGTCCTTGGATACTTCGAAGCTCCCTCAAGTTCTTCGGCTCAGGCATTTTCTAAATGGTGTTAATCTTTGCGGGATTAACTTTAATTCCAAGATGACGCACAATGAATCCAAGAAACTTTCCTGAGGTTACTCCAAATGCACACTTGAGTGGATTCATCTTCAGGTCGAATTTCCTTAACCTTTCAAAAACAATTCAAAGGTATTCAATGTGGTAACGCCTACTCTTCGTCTTCACCACCAAGTCATTGACGTAGCTTTCAACCCTCTTATGAAGCATGTCATCAAAGATGTTTTGCATCACAGGTTGGTAGGTGGCACCAGCATTCTTGAGAACGAAGGGAATCACTTTGTAGCAGTATATCCCTTTTGGAGTTCAGAAAGCAGTACACTCTTCATCTTTCGGAGACATTCTGATTTGATTGTATCCGGAGGACCCATCCATGAATGGTATAGCTTCATGCCCTGTTGTAGCATCAACCATGAGTTCAATTATTGGTAGCGAAAAGTCATTTTTCGTACATGCCTTGTTTAGGTCTCGAAAGTCAACACAAACACATATTTGACCATTTTTTTTCTTGACAGGTACAATATTCGATATCGATGATGGGTACTTCACCTCTCGAATAAATCCCGCCTCGATGATCTTGTTGACTTCGACTTCAATTTGGGGTAGTAGCTCGGGTTGAAACATGCGTTGTGACTGCTTCATAGGGCGTGCTCCACTTTTGATCACTAAATGATTAACGACTACCTTGAGACTAAGACCATGAATTTCTTTATACGACCAAGCAAAGACATGTTTGTACTCGGTCAATAACTTGGAGTATTCTCCTCTTCCTGAGGCGTAAGAAGTGTACTAATAAAGGTGGGTCGTGGGACCTTCTGGAGTGCCTAAATTGAGTTCCTTAAGCTCATCCACAGTTGATTGCCCACCGTCTTCTAGTTGAGGGGGAGCCTCGTGTACTTCATCATCAACATCAAGGCATGGGCTATCTTCCATAGTTATGTGATAGGATGTTTCCGCAAAGTCTGACTTCTCTCTTTGACTTCCTTGGATAGTCGGCATGGCTTCTTTCTCTTTCTTTGTTGCTCTATGAGGCTGGCAAATGTAAATGATGGTACTCCTTTTCACCTTCAGCGGACCATTTATAGATATTGACAAAATGGACTTCCTCTTCATCGTGATGGGAAAGCACTACAGGTTTCCTTGTCAGCAACAACACCACAGTGATCGTGCTCCTCATGTTTTGACAACATATTTCTAGGTGGTGACTTCTTTATAGTTCCCAAGCGACAAAAGACAGAGGTCTTTGAGATAATGGCCACTCCCTTTAGATGTTTGGGAGATACACTTTCACTTTTGTGACCTAGCCTTTCAAACAATGAGGCACGAGGTGTTGAGCCTCCAATGCGATCAAACACTTAAGCCCGTTGTTTTATTTTCTTGTCTTTAACTTCCTTCACCTCCTCCGCCAAGGTTTGTTGCGATGAAGCTATCTCTTTGTTTCTCTTAGATGAAATTCGAAGAGGTTCTACCAAACTGAATCGTAACCCAAACTTAGGAGTGATGACGTAGTGCCCTTGCTTTCTCAACCTCATTTGGGACTCAGTAAGCCCATATACCTTTTCACCAATGACTTCATCTTTGAGTTCTCCTAGTCTTGATGGATTTGAGAAGTCGTAACTAGACTTTTCAAGAAGTATGAAGGCCTTAGGATCAAAGTTCCCTTTTATTTTACCAGCTTGGAGATTGCCTTTAGTAGACTTACAAGTCACGGGTGGGATTTGTGCAACTGGGACAGTCATATGCTCCTTCAAATGTTGGATAGCTTTGTGACTCATTTTCCTCTTTGGAGTACATTCCTGTAACAAAGGTTTCCCTTTCTTTCGACGCTCACCCGGAGCATAGCGAAAAACTAGATGCTCCTTATCAGCCTTTGTTTGCATGTCACCTTCAGATGATGATAGCTTAATGGAGACTTCTTCAATTCTCTTCTTAGGCAGCTTAGGGGTAGTCCATTAAGCCTCATTTTCTTCTTCTAACTTGACATCAGCTTCATCGACTGATGATGGTTTCTCCACACACGGTTCACAAGAATATAGGTAGAATTTTGCATATGCAAAGTATGACTCCGTCTCAGTGAAAGGGTTGATGTCTACATCAATTTTGACTATCTCTCCATCCCTTCTGTACTTCAGACATTGATGCAAAATAGACGATACCACTCCATTCTCATGAATCCAAGGACGTCCAAGTAGCAAATTGTATGATGTTTTAGCATCTATGATGTGCATCAAGGTGTTTGACTTCATCTCACCAATGGATAATCCGGATCATACCTATGGCTCGTTGTCCTCATTGGTTGAAACCTTGTATTGTTAGGTTACTTTTGGATAGCTCATCAATAGAGATCCCAAGTTTTTTTTAGCACCATCTTCGACATGATGTTGACAGCCGAACAATCATCAACAAGTATGCGATTGAGATGTTGTTCCTGAATTGCCCATACAACGAACAAAGGTCTGTTATGTGGATTAGACCCCAACAACAATTCATCATCTGTGAAGGAAATTGTTGCACAACATTTGACAACTTTTCAGCTATCATGATGTTCTTGTGTTTTCATTGGAGCAAGCTCATCGTTGCTTTCCTTTATTTCATCGATACTAGAAACTACATGAGTTGCACCAATGTGACCTCCATGAAGGAATTTTCCAAGAAAGAATTCATGCAATGTGATGAGATTTTGGAACTTCGGCGATAAGGCAACGTTAATCTTCTTGCTAATAGAAGATTTGATAATTTTTTATGGTTGAAACTTACCCACATCGCTCTTTTTTTCTCTTGGCTTAGGAAGTCGTAGCCTCAAAATTGCTTGATGTTTTCGCTTATTTGCGAGTGACTAGAGTCCAACATTCGTCGTCAGTGTCTTTAGAGTGATTGTCTAGATCGAGTGAACCTTCAAGAGTTTTCCTTGGAAGATCAACTTTAACAGGCTCGAAACTTCCAAATTGTAAGAAGGCATTGCTTGACATGTTCTGCAACCTTGAACACTTCTTTTCCTTGGGTGCTACATGTTGATACCAAATTTTACCCTCATATTTTCTCAAATAATATATATACTTTCAAAACATCATTTTTTGCATCATTGTGTAGTTTACAAATCTATACAAGCATTTTCTATAATTTTCCATAATTTTTAGAACTTTAAAATTGATTTTCCTGTATTTAAATTACTTGAATATTTATCAATTACTCCTTTCAATTATTTTTGTGATGAATTAATTACCTAAAATTGTTATTTGCATCTATGATACATGTTTCAAATAATTTACCTCATTACAGTAGTATTTTTAGGCCATTTGCAAAATCTTGCAATAATAGCCTATATTTTATAATTTTATTGCATTTTGTCATTTTATTCAAGGTCAACATAATATCTTACATTTTTATATTCTTCTAATATTGTTTTAAAATATTACTTTGCATAAATAACATTTTTATAATTTATTTAATTGTTTTATTAGATTATTTTCCCCTTAATTTCCTATTTTAAAATCTGGCCCAAAATTGGTAAGACCAGACAAGCCCCAAATCTCTGGCCCAACCCCTAAGCCCAATCTAAATGATCCTTTAATCCCTAACCCAGTCCAAAAACCCGACCCAGAACTTCCTAAATTTCAGTCGTTGATCAAAAGTGATCAACGACTCACAACACCCCTCCCTACTCTCCTTATATCCCCTAACCCAAACTCCAGTCCCCATTTCTCTTCATCAGCCGCCCTCAAACACTGGCCCCGCCCTCAGAAACCCTAGTCTCCCTCTCAATGTTCTCTGAATCCGTAAGTTAGCATGTCTGTCTCTTGACATTGTGATGGATACTTAACATAATTGGGACCCTTAAGCTTTAAGCTTTTTAAGTTGGTACTCTACCTAGATTTGTTTGGTATTATGCATCTTGGTATATTAATCTTGTAATCTCAAGGAACTTGTTTCTCCCATAACTCTTTCAATGTGTTTCTGCCAATATGTTACTTATTGCTAAGTGTTGAACTTGTAATAGCAACCTGCCTCTAAGTCTTGTTGACCTTCTTAACTAGCATGTTCTATGTTTTAGACAACTTTGATATGTCTGCTTTTTAAAATACAAGTGTATCTCTTCAAATTATGTCCCTTAACCATTGTCCTCTCACTCTCATTTGTTACCTATACTATTCTGA